CTTGTTGGTGAGTGGAAAAAGGTGAGATGAGTGGAAAAGAGAAAGTGGAAATAGCTAGGGGAATGAAAGAAAAAGAATTCAGTCTTGGAGTTTTGAGTTAAAGAAAGTGAGCTCTGGTGTGTTGAAAAGAAAGAGTCTAGCCTCTAAGTAAAAGGAAAAGAAAAGAAGCCAAAGAGCTCAATGTTTTGAAAAGAAAGAAGAAAAGGAGGCTAGAGGTTGCAAAAGAAAAAGAGTTGTGTAAAGTTTGAACTCCAAGACTTGAGAGTGAAAGTGAAAAGTAAGTCCCCTAGTGAGAGGAAAATAAGTGTGAAAAGTGAGGTTCTTGAGAGAGTGAGCAAGTGAGAAATCTTTGAGTAGAGGGTGGGGTGTGATGAGTCTTTGCCCTTGTATGCATAGGTTGTTTTTTACCTTTAGCATTCTGCCAAAGTTTGATCATTCATAGAGAGATCCCTTTGCTGCATTAAACCCACTTGAACACTAATGAGATCATTTTAATCTCATAGCCTCTCCCTAGCCAAGCCAGCTTGTTTAAACATTGCATCATGAGATTCACCTGATAAAAGCTTAATGAATGTGAAAGAGTTGAGAGAGAGAAGAACTTGTGGAGATTCCTTGCTGAGTTGATATATATCTGAGTATGGCTTTGCATTGCATAATTGAGCATGAACTTGAATTCTCATTGTGATCACTTCTCTCAAAAAGGAAATGTGAACTCCCATGCATTCAGCCTCTCTCTCTCTCATTTGTTCTTGTTTGCTTGAGGACAAGCAAAGGACAAGTGTGGAGGAGTTGATATGTTCATAATTTGCATCGTTTAGGATGTATATTTCACTCCAAAGCATATCTTATTCCATGCATTTTAGGTCCTTAGGGTTTGTTTTAGGACTTAGGAGATGCATTAGGTCCCAATGAGTCTTTGCATGTTTTGAGTGTTTATCAGGTGCATTTGGAGCTATTTGGAGTTGAAGAGGTGAATCCAGGAAGACAAATGGTGATCAAAGCTTGAAAGGAGGTTCTCGGCCATTCTCGCTGACCAGGAAGGATTTTATCAGCCAAAACACGTACCGCGGGTGGAGCTTATCGGCCAAAACGCGTACCGGCTAAAGGATTTCTCGGTCAAAATCTCCGGGTGCAGATACGTTTCCGAAATCGCCTGTCCGGGGAACCTTCCGATCCGATTCAGATGTCGGGTGCATCTTCAAAGTTGGAGAGGGTTGGATCACGGTTCCATAGCAAGTGGAATCACTCAATTCGGACGCGTGAGCAGAAAGTTAAGCTCGGCGGAAGAAACTCCTGTCTCGCGCCGTTTTGGACCAAATCGATGAGCTCCGAAGAATGCGAAGGACGGTGTACTTCCAGGCCGATTCAGTTTCCAAAGCCTTCATGATAGTCAGAGATATTTGAGTCCTGTTTCCAGAACATCCGACATAATTCAATTCGGAGCTATGCGCAGGAAGATAACGTCTCCGGAATGGACACATGTCTAGACGCCTCTCTCTGATCGTGTAAAGGCACTTCAAAGACGAGCCCTCCAGGAAGCCTTCCACTTCCCAAGCACCGAAGCTTCCTTCACCAAAGTTGGAGATATATGAGTCTTCTGTCCTCTGAAACCGGAATCGCACAATTCGGACCAATATCCTGGAAGTTACGCCTCCGGAATGCAAAGTGGTCCAAGCTGCTCTGAATGCTGCGAGATAGTCTTGCGACTTGGTTAACTCGCAGGTCTGAAGACGAATGCCTGGAAATTGATGCTGCGAGTTGAGAAGTGCGGTAAGCTATAAATGGATGAGGTCTGAGGCTCCCGAGCAAGAAAATTGCTAAGTCCACAATCGTGCGACTTAGGCATGCGAGTTGGCCGCGCCTGGAACCAAGCCGCACGATCACTCGCAATCTACTCTGACTTGAGCCTGCGACCTGTGTGTAATGGAGACCAACCCGCACGGTTTGTACATTCCCCAGAAACTGCCTTGGTCCTGCGAGTTGAAGAAGAAGAAGATTAAGCCGCAGCAAGACTCGCAAAACACTCCTACTTGGGCGTGCGGCTAAAACAAAGCGATTTAAGTCTCACAAGACAAATTCTTCATCTACTGCGACTTGGGCATGCTACCTAGGAGACACTGGACCAACCCGCAGGATTTCCACTTTACCCACTAAAGCCGGGTCAGGACCCGGTTTGTTCCGGGCTGACCCGGTTCGTTTTTAGAGAGATATAAATACTTTTTAGGGTTTTTTCCTAGAGAACTAAGCTTTATTCCCTTTGCTTCTTGCCTCTTTTGTGAAAAGACTCCACTAAGAAGAGAAATATCGATTATTGAGTGTTTAATCAAAAGAGTTTAAGAGATTTTTGTGTTTAAAGCTGCTTTCTTCTAAATCTATCATCTATCTCTTCATCTATACACTTCTAATCATGATTAACAACACATCTTGCAAAGGATCTAGTGTGTTGATCATGATTAGTGAGTAATCTCCATATTAAGGTCTTAGATATGTAGATTAGGGTGCTTAAGTGGTAGATTAGTGAGCTTAGAGGTTAGATCATGCATATTCCATTCTCTACAACTTGTTCTCTATGCTAGATCCATACAAATCATATGTGGTCTAGATTCTAAATCTAGGGCATTTCATGCACCAAAAGTGTTTGATGAAATGACTGAACCAAGGTTGTTAGAGGTTTAAGTGTTATTCATCATGGGAATGATTGTCTATATGCTTAAATGACAGATTAAACTGATTCTTAATGCTTGTTAACTTATGTTTCACTGATGATGATTGGGTTAAAAACTGTTAGCATAGGAGTTAATACCTTCATGAGAGGATTAACTTAATTAAAGATGTTTATGTTGAATGGTTTGCTTGATCATATGATTCATTAGCTCATTAGTTTATCACTGAAGGCACCCTAATCCACTATCATGTCTAAGACCTTTCTCATCATCATTCATACATTCTCATCATTTGTCATTGTTTAGTTCTTGTTTAATCATTTCATTATTCTTTAATCCTGTTTAAGTTTGTAGTTGTCTTTAGATAATCAAAACCACTCTTGTTTGCTTGAGTTAAGAACATGATCACATAGTTTAGTGTCTAACACCACATCTGGATTGATAAACCCCTTGTACTACAAGACAGGGGATTGATAACCTCTATAAAGAGCCTTGAAAACTCTTAGTTATCAAGCATACAATTAATATATTTTACCAACAAGTCTTATTGTTGCAAACTATGAGTTAGATACTAAATGCGCTGAAGTAATAAAACATTACGCATGAGTCACCTTGTCATCTCAGAAAACTTTAATTTTTTTACTAAAGTGTGAGATACCAACAAATAGATAAACAGGGAGAAATTCAACAACTTTCAATAAAAATCTAGAACCTCGCTTACCTAGATTTGCATAATTTTTTTAGTAATTTCTATCATTTAAAATGCAACTTAGTGTTTTGGTACTATTTAGAATATTTCACACACACACAAACAAATGATTGGTAAAATATATGCAAAATCACGGTTAAAACATAATTTTGCATTTTTGCAGCCTACAAATACCAAAACAGTTGATGTCTTGACAAACAAAAAAAACCTTTTTCTTAAATAATAAACCTCTTTGATTTGAGGCTAATGTATTTTCAATAGATTCCTATGCATTTTTATAGGCCTATTTATGACTAGGGAAAACAGCCTTTTCCCCCACGAACTTTATGCCTTCTGAAAATCCATACACAAACTATTGAATCATGCCTATAACTACATGAAATATTGGAATACGGTCAATTTCACCAAAACCATAATCGGTGTTAATTTGTCGTCAATAATTAATGATGTGTCTGACACGTGGCATACCGGTTTACTAGATAATTTGGTTGATTTTTTTTTTTCATGTGGTCAAAACGACGTCGTTTTGATATTTCTTAAAAAATGCATTCCCTAAGACTCGAACACGCAACCTTATAAATAAGGGTTTACAACCATACCAACTGAGCTAGAGACATTTATTAACTTTAATAAACTAAAAATATTTCTATTTATATCGAATTGAGATCAACATCATCCTTGGTTGATAATCCTTGGCACCCAATCCTCCCTTACTTCACTCCGACTTACAGAGTCATCCTACGATTTAGTTTGCGCCGGCTAGGGCTGGAATATTATCCGGTATCCGAGATCTGATTCGGGATCCGCTCTGATCCGTTCTGTTCCGCTCCGATCTACTCCAAAAAATTTAGATATCTGAGAGGACCGGATCCGGATCCAGATAGTAAAATCTTATATCAGTCTAAACCGGATCCGTATTCGGATAGTTAAATTATAAGGTCTGGATATCCGTATCTGAATCTCTAATCTCTAAATATATTTAAAAAATATATATTTTATTAATAATTATGTAATATATTGAGTTTTTATATATAAAATAATTTAAATTAATTTAAAATATTTTTGTAATTAAAAAGTTTATGTTTTACAAAATATTAAATAAAAATTAAGTTTATTATTATTTTAATTTTCTACGTTTGTAATATATTTTTATCTGGATCTGGATATCCGTAAATATCCGCGAATATCTTAATATTTAGGTGAATATTTGAAAGTCCGAATATCCGAACATTCCGGATACGGATCTGAATAATTAAAATTCGGATCTGTCGTATCCGGATAAAGATCCGGATATCTCAAAACTATCCGGATATCTGCTCTGATCCAGGGCTAGCACCGACAACGTTAATTCTGGTGCAAACTAAGTCGTAGAGGACTGTAAGTCGGAGTGAAGTAAGGGAATATTAGGTGCCAAGGATTATCGACCAACGATGATGTTGATCTCAGTTGGATAATAATATAAATATTTTTAGTTTATTAAAATTAATAAATATCTCTAGCTCAGTTGGTACAATTGTAAACCTTTACTTGTAAGGTCATGTGTTCGAATCGCCACGTGTCCCTTCCTCACTTAAATAATTTTTAAAAACCTATTCTCCACAAAATCAACATTTTCTTCGTCTTCCTCCCGAAACTCCCCAAGACTGTTTAAATCGACGGCCATGCACTTCTCCTCACCACTTGTTTCAATGATTTCAACGACGATTTTCAGTAGAGACTTCCACCTGCCTATGAAACTTTCTATGGAGCAGCTGAAGATCCTCGCGCTCTACAACCAAACCTTCCCATTTACGCAGGTGATTTTAATTTCCGCCTCCTTCTGATTGACCATCTTAATTAGTGCTTTCGATCTGTTCCAATAGATTTAGATCTGGGTCTCAATTCGTTTTTAAAAATGGTTTCTCATCTTCAATTTTAAAAAGGGTTTCTCATCTTCAATTGATGCCACTGCGTGGGATAGTCGGAGGATTTTTTCCGAGATGACACTCGCCAGAACCGTTGATGTTGGTGGCCAATGAGAATTCATTATATATTTTTGTTGACGAGGAGGATGTGCCGCTCATGGCTTCTGAGGAAAGCCCCACTCCTAAGGACGAATGTCCTATCAAGAATCTCGGCTGCCTTTGTGCTTGTACTCGCATCCTGAAGGTAAATTGCTTACCGATGGGTCTTAGCAAATTTTGGTAAATGTTTACTGCGTTTGAGCAATAGCTTCGTCCTGCAAAAACTGATGGCAGCCTTTGATATTAGAATTCTTCTACAGTCCGACTCCAGATTCACTCTCCATATAAGTCTGCGCTTAGAAATATCTCTCTCTGTATATTTGCTTAATCACCATTGCCGCCAGAGTTACCTCCTTTTCTTCAGGATCCGGAAAATAGAGTGACCCGAGTTCTGTGTTCGGTACTAAAGCAAGTGGTAAGTTCACGTCTTTATGCTCTTGAGTAAATGTAATGCCAAAATTTACTAATTTTTCAAAGTATGTGCAGGTTAGTAACTCAGACCGTTCTCTAAAGTCTCTTCGTGGGTTTCACTATGAGACATTGGATGATCAAGAGAAGCAACAGGTGACGAGGATGATTGCAAGTGTACAAGCCGGAAACTGTTGATCATTTAGATGAGATGGCTGAGCCAACGGAAATGGAGATTTATCTGGGAAACGGCGATGATTCTGTTGGCGCTCATTTTAGTTACATTGTTTTGGAGCCAATCTCATGGCCTTTAGAGTCCCAACTAACTCTTGAATGGGTTAAGACTTTGCTGGGTTTATTGAACCAGTTCACGTGGAAGAACTCCGTAGTTCCCTTTAATATTACCACATTCTGTAGCTCTTTCCCTGGTGGATTGTGCTTCCCAGAATGTAGACAAAGAAGCTAATTGCGTTAAAATCAATTGCTGTGGTGAGGATTCTAGAGTGATTCTGGTTGGGGATCTCCATGGTCAACTACACGATCTCCTCAAAATCTTTGATCCATCAGGAAGGCCTTCACAAAACCAATGCTTTGTGTTCAACGGTAATTATATTGGTCGAGGTTCTTGGAGCCTAGAATTTTGCTTGGTTCTCTTAGCCTGGAAGGTTCAGATTATAGCTTACTTACTGGTCTCCTTTTTTAAACGCTTGGAATGTCTGTGATGGAACGTTAAAGTGTTAGGTATCTGCCATGTTGTGTTTTTAATTGTAAAGTAACTTTATCGTTGCTCTAGCATTCGCCTTAAGCTTTACTATTGATTGTTAATGTTGAAGGCATCAAATTTGTTTTGGGTGAATTACAAATAGAAAAAACAACATGGGTTTGCGTGAATATTAACATGAAAGCGTTAGAGATTTAAGGCCTTAAATGTGTGTCATTTCGTTCAATCTGCCTTACTGTTTTAGTTCATGTGTTCCCATCTGATCAATACTTGTTGTCTCTAACTCCAGAGTCTGATGCCTCAGAGTGCATGTTTACTTCGACGAAGCTCTGAAACAAGGGTATCCGCAGAAGAGCCTGATTTCTTGAAAGAAACATGTCACAGATATGCTTAGCACGGTCCAGTGCTATACTCCAAGTGTATCGATTGTTTCAAACTATTACCTTTGGCATGTGATATCAGATAGCGTCTTCACAACTCATGGAGGTCTCATTCAAAGCTCTCGGGTACATGAAGATAGCTCCAATCCATCTTTGTTGTTGGGTTCTTTAGAGGAACTTGACAAGATTGAGAGGACACAAGTTGGTGAGAACGATGATGAGAATATCACTCTTAACCATGTTTTATGGTCATCTCCATGGATGGCTGATGATCTGAGCGAAGTGTGAAAAATAGGGTGAAGTCCGAAGTGTGGCGGTATGGTACGTCGAAGGTAATTTAAAAACAATGCGCCAAAAAGACGAGGAAGGAAAATCAGAAGAGTTCCATGATAATCAAGAAGTGAAAATGGTTTACTGGGCAAATATCTTTTCATCAAGCGTAGTTAATATGTGTAAATAGTTACGAATATTAAATATCCGTAAATGCAACAACAGGCATCTCTGCATCTTTAAAAATTATGGAGTTCTATCACTCAAAAAGTCAAAATTACGCTGTGAACGCAGAATAAAAACAATTACCTACACATTTCATATTCAGTTTTCAGTCAACAACAAGTGTATGTGGATTAAGGAAAAGTAACAGTAATGAATATGTTGATAGCTTTTGATACGTAAGGCTGACCCCAAAATAAAAAATATCAGAAGAGTGTTTTTAGACTTCAATTGACTATAAATTAACTTTATTAAAATTAGTGATGTTATTGAAGGAAAAAACAACGACCACAAATATGAAATAATATAAAATATACTTCAAACATGTACACATTAAAATGTATGTATATTAGTTTATTTCACTGATTTGAATAGGAGATGAAAATGAGTAATATTTTAATAGAAACACCGAAGAACTAAAATATCAGAAACAAACTTGGTTATTAAAAATAAAGATTGAAGAAATTGAATAAAAACAAAAAAAAATTCAATACTATGGTAAATAAATTTGGAACATGTCCTATTTATTCAAATAAAAGGTAAACAATTATAATTATAATTAGTTACTCCCGTTCATAAACCACACATTTGCATCGTAGCTTACCCTAAACAAGGATTACTGTCAAACTAAATAAAGAAATAATTACAGATTTAGAAACATTCCTCACACAAAAATAAAAAACAATCCGCGCATAGCGCGGACTCTCATCTAGTTATATAGTAAACTGGTATGCTATGTATCAGCCACATTATTAATTATTGACGGAAAATTAATACTGTTTACGATTTTGGTGAAATTGGCTGTATTTAATATTTTACTAGGTAGTAATCCGCGCCCTGCGCGGAGTGAGATTTATCTATTTTGTTTTTTATAGATTTGTTTTAGAAAAAGTTTATTTTAAAAAAAAAATAATGGGATATAATTATAAATTATATAATAGTTATGAAAAATAGATAAAGAAATAAAACAATTTAACCATAAATTTTAAATAATAACATGAATTGATAAATATTAGCATATGAGGATGGCCCTATCATATATTTATTAAAACTAAAATAGAGAAAAAAAATTAATTTGGCTGAATATTACCGAATATGTCCATTTTTAGAGCAATTTGTATGATTTAAGTAGCCTCATTTAAATGGAATCCTGCAAATGATTAAAGATTTCATTATATATTAGCTAAAACGATTGTCTAACAAATAGTACTAAATAATTACGTTTACATCGATTTGAAAGCTTTTGTTTCTGAAATATCAGGGTCAAAGAGAAGTCGAGATATTTGATTTTATAAACCATTAAAATTCCAAGAAATTCATTATTATGCGTAAGCAACGAAGTAAAGAAGTTGCTTTACATTCTCATCTCCCAAAACCATTAGCGATTTGGATGAATCTAATCCAATTGTTGTACTCCATTTTCTGATGACCTTAACACGGATGAGAGGGATAGTTATGGATGGTTTCAAGTCAATGAGAAGCGTAAAGGTAGACATTGTAATAGATTGGAAATGGTTCTGACGTTGTGTGATAATAGTTTGTACAGGGAGAGTAATGTATTAATAGAACAATTAAATGTTTTTTTTTTGTTTTTACGAAATTGAACAGTTATTTTCAAGGAAAAAAGAACATTTAAACAATATTATGGGAATAAATCATATTACAATTTTAGGCAGTCTAAGACAATCAAAAATCACAAAGATTGACATTCACACAGGAAACTATAATATCTACCTTATTACTTAAATCAATTATAGTAGCTAAAGGAATCAATCTAACAATATATTAAGAAGTCTAAAATCAATAATCAGATTGTAAAGTATCAATCTACTAATCTAATAAGAATACTAAAATCAATTAAGGGTGCCAGTATAAATCGTTGGTGTAATTATTGGTTATTTCTTGAACTTGTATTAATATTGGTTAAACAACAAATTAGAGAGAGCCGAACATAAATTAAATATATTGTAATGGTTAGTGGATCCTTTCCCAAATAAAGAAAATGCATAATGCTTTAAAACAAATACAGTACCTTAAAAGAGTAAAGAACACGAACGTAGTTGGGTTTAACGAACAAAGATCATCTCAAATAGAAGCAAAAACACGAAACGTACATCACAGATGAATGCCGAGATTGTTCAATATATTGAAACTAAGTTTCAATATAAGAATCCAACAAATCTTGGAAAACCTGCTTGTAAACAACATTCATGGTTTTATCTTGTGGCTTCCCATCTTTGTCTATAATAAGAATTTTTAATCCTTTTCTAGATTTCACCCTGGACACAGCAACATACAGCTGCCCATGAGAGAACATAGGTGTAGGTAGATACAAACCCACTTTTGCTAGTGTTTGCCCCTGGGATTTGTTAATGGTCATTGCAAAAGCAACTTTCAGTGGAAACTGCCGACGCCTCATTTTGAAAGGAAGCTTAGTATCTGATGGTGTAATCAACATACGGGGTATGAACACCTTCTCTCCAACTCTAGTCCCTGTGATCACTTTGGCTTCCACAATATGATTGGCCAATTGAGTTATCTGCAATCTTGTGCCGTTGCACAATCCATCAGTCGGGTCAATATTCCTAAGAACCATAACAGGTGTACCAACTTTAAGTCTCAATGAATGGGCTGGTAAACCTGATGCCTTTATACTATTAAGAAACTCTGGTGAGAAAACAGAGTCGTCCTTTGAATTTGTATCTGATGGATCAATACTATCAGAGCTCAAATATACTCTTTCTTCACCTACACAATAACGAACAATAAAACAATGAGAGATTTCTCGAAAACTATTACAATTATGGTATACCATATAACCTACGCCTTATTCACTTATGGTGTACCATATAGCATAAGTAATATGCACTTATGGTATACCAAATAACATAAAAAATATTTATAATTCCATCTCCTAATATAAAAACCTTATGCAAGCGACGTAGGAGAGAAATATTGATTATTAAACAATTCAAAAGAAGCATGCGATTAAGAATTCAGGAAGTAACGAAAGACATTTATCTTTTTTGAAAAAAAAAATTCTTTTTTTTTTTGAAAAAAAATTTTGAAAAAAATTTATATGTAAGCAGATCAAGCATATAGTTGTTGATCATATCAACATCATCATTGGTAGGACACAAGATAGCTCTTTCCTGAAAGAAAATTGGATCTTTTGAATCTTTGAATGTGGTACCATAAACTTCAGAAACTATAGACTCGATAGAATCAGTGCAGTCAGTAATCAGAAGATCTTTGGGAATGTCAATCATGGTTTCTCCAGTATTTGGCTCATTGATCTTCCCATCACCTAAATCAAGTATCCATTCTGAAAATTCCTTTATCTCTTGAGCTTCATGACTATCTTTCTCAGACAGAAGTCTCATATTTTTGGTTAATTGCAAAACTTTGCCATGCTTCCAGAGGTGTGAAGAACTACGAGAAGCCATGACTATTTCAGCTCTACTCCCTTTGGGAATAACAGGCAGAATCTGTCTGAAATCCCCTCCAAACACCACAACTTTACCTCCAAATGGTTTATCTGAATTCTTCATAATGTGGCGTAAAGTACGATCAAGAGATTCAAAACAGAACTTGCTCATCATTGGTGCTTCGTCCCAAATAATAAGTGATGCTTTAGATACCAACTCTTCTTGGTTACTTCCAGGTTCTATATTGCACTGGAGGATTCATGAACATTAATCGAAATGCCAAACCTGGAATGAGCAGTCCTTCCACCAGGCAACAACAATGAAGCTATCCCGCTAGAGGCAACGTTGAGTACAATATCTCCTCGTGAACGGATAGCAGCTGAAAGAATATTCCATAAAATGTTTTGTCTGTTCCTTCAAACCCGTACACAAAGAAGACACCACCTTTTTTGCGAAAAACAGCACCAATTATCTCATCATACGCAGACATTTGCTCGTCAATTAACAGACCAAGCCATTCATCATGTCTATCACGTAATTCAGCTTGCGGATAGTTAAGCTCATCCTGCAGTAGTCGATTCTCACTAATTGATGAAGAGTTATCCACAGGTTTTGGCATTGTCTCCCAATCTTTCAAAGAACAGCTGTTGCTGCACAAAAGACTCTCTATCATCAATAAAGTGCAGTTATAAATCTCTTCTTCGTTCAAAGTGAGACCTAGCAAACAATATAAAAATTACAGTGGTCAATATTAATTGGTTTGTTACGTATAACTGAATAATAAAATGAAGTCAAACTACTTTCTGACCTGGGTTTTGACGGTTTCTACGTTCTATGAAAAGCACATCTTCAGATAGTATGCCAAGTGTTGCCTCCCAAACTAACTTAGGCGATGATAAACTATCAGATTGTAGCATCATTGCAAACAATTTACGAACATAAGCAGTTGAAGCCCAGAAGCTACATTCTTTTAATCCTTCAATGTACTCCTTATCATCATCTAATAACCCAAGCTTATAACATGCCTCTTCAAACGACCCTTGAACCATTTCGTCCACTGTCTTGATTTCATCAAATGACGTTGGACCTTTGATTTTGTTTATCAAAACTCTCAAAAAATAAAGTTCTCCCATACTTGGAGGAACGTGTTGCAGCCTACCGATTGCAAAGCTGCCCTTTTTCTTTCGTGGACTCCAAACTATTTTCTTTTTATCATAAGTGAACTTAGTAGGGAGCTCTGCATAAGTCAACTCCCTTGCTTCAGGATATTCCTCACAACAATCAAACCAAGCTAAGAACATCGTCCTACAAATATCAGGCCGCGACAACACACTGTTCACAGGATCACCCTCCCTGTAGATGACCATATTCTCATTGGGCAGATGGAAAGTAAGCTTCATTACAGGTGTTATCCGGTAATGTGTAGGATAACCGAAAATTCTCCAAATCGATTCAGGCGCTGAGAGATAACTACAGAAATTGTATACTTGAGTTAAATAATAGTTTCTCGGTGGAAAATATATATATGCATATATCATAGATAGCCACAATTACCAACGTCACATACCTTGCATCGAAATATTTTTTAATTTCATCAACAGGTTT